CTGAAAACTTTGACGGAAATTGCTTCCTCAAAAAACAAAAACAAAAAAACACAGAAAAAACAAAAAATAAACAACAACAATTAAAATTTTGTATTGTTTACATTATTCGGACTGTTATCCTCATCTTCATAGCTCAGTGGATAAAGACGTTGGTTAAATCCAGTGACTAGACCCAAAGAGTTGTGAGTTTAATACCAGTCCACAGCAGCGGTGAATCAAAACTTGACGACAATTGTTAGAAAGTTTTAATATTGAGATACAATGAAGCAAAAATCTTGAAACAATGTCTCGAGATTCAATAAAGCAGAGATAAAACATTAACAACTGAAATAGATTCAAATGAACCATTTCATTAATCCATTTCCTTTATATATTTTAGACGTTGAATGGTATTTATTATTCATTGCTTACTCCTGGTGTTATATAAATCGCTTTTTGTTCAATATCTTTTCATGTTAAAACGTTTATGTTTTTAATATAACAGTGAAACAGAAATATCTTTTGGAAGAAAAAGATTACCAACAGAACGACAAAGACGGCGACGGCAAATCCTGTTTTCAAGTTGAAGCAAGACAATCACTTGAATACCTCACATGAAAGGCTTGAACAAATAAAACTTCATTCTAAGAAACGTAGGAGTAAACGAACCGATTAATTAAACAGTTCATTTTACTCGGAACTAATTTGGTCTAAATGCAGATAAACATTTTATTTCTATAGATTATTAAAGCGAGTAATCATCATAAATTTACTAATTTACATTGATTTACCTCCCTTTCCACTACAGATGGGACAGGAAATATATAAATAAATACACATTGATAATTATTATATGGTTTCATATTGTGGATTGCGGTACCAGCGCCTCTATGATACATATCACTTTTAACAAATCTGTCAAGATACTTTCATCACGTTTTTTTTTTTATATTTTTCTTGCACAGCTACAAGTGTCTATTCTGGAATCAATAAATATAGAAATTGCTAAAAATGTGTTGGATCGAACTGCTTTCGGCTAAACTGTTAGCTATTTTAAAGGATATTTTTTGGTTATACCTCCTATGATAAATGTTTTTTTAGTGGTGCCGTAGATGGTATAAAAGGTGCTGAAAGTAGATCTACATTATAATTTCTAAATAAGGCCATTAGCTATATAGTAGTCTAGGCTGGTGTAATAAGCCATGGTTAAGTGTCATTAACAAAATTCTTAACAAACGGAAATTCTTAACATTTATCCTCAACCTTGCGTGGCTCTTGTGCCTGGCTTCGGTTGAACATTTAGTAAAAACTACAAAATGAAGTGTAATTTAATATTGTAATTTCAAAGATCCTTACAAAAAGACACGAGGTTAAAAACCGAAATAGTTCAGACAACGACATCGTCAAAATTGACGAATATACTAAGGAGAATGCTGGATTTTGTCCTGATATTTCCAGTGCAAATGTGCTTAAATGTAATCGTCAAAATGGTCAATAAATGGAATTAACAAAGTTCTTAATAAACAATAAGAAAAGGAAGAAAAAAGAACAGGGTCAAATAATACGAAGCAAACAATATATATGCAAGTCAAAATTAGGCAAGGCAAGAGTAATGTGGCAAAAATTTCACAAAGTAAGAATAGTGTTCACACTCAAAAGGGATACAGTCAAGTTCAGACTTCAAGACAAGAAAAAAACAAACAATATGGTGGATGAGACCGAGAATTGTACAAATGCATGCTGGGATTTCTTCCTCACCAATGATGAGTTAGGAAGAATTCCCAGCATGCATTTGTATGATTTGTCTATAAATTTGGTGATGTTTTTAGTAATCCCCACTATACAGATTAGTACACTACTACGATTACTAATACAGCGATGGTTACTATTTGTACAAATACTACGACAGTTAGTATTGCGATTACTACTACTACTATATTAAGATTACTAGTAGGACTATTGTCAAAATCAAAATGGTAAAGGAATCACATTAAATGGACCGATTCTATTGAATCAATTACTACGTTTACTGCTAGGAAAGTTGGTTCATTGTATGGTACTAGACAGTCTTCCTCATCAGAATCTATCTTAGACATTTTTATAAGGTGATCATTTGCCCGAACATTGGATATTGCTACCACATCTGTTCTGGTGCTTCTGCTGTACGTCTAGAGATTTTTGACAAAATCCAAAGAATTTGCAATGTTATCGGTCCTAAGCTGGCATCTCGGCTTTAATGTAACTGTCTTCCCTGTGCCTTTTCGATAAATATTTGTCTGCCAATTGTTCTAATGAACTTTTCCCTTTAGTACCTTCACTTCACGAATTTAAGTGCAGTACTAGATTGGTAGTTAGGTTTTATTATTTTACTTTCAACATTGCCAGATGTAACTGTAAGTTTTACGCAAAGATTTTACAAAGTAAACCGGTGTACATACAGTAAATGATTGTGACATTCTAACTTCAAGACAAGAAAGAACAAAACTATGGATCGAAAATCGTCCATTATTATTAGTTAGGAAGAAATCCCAGCATGCATCTATAGGATTTATCTATAAATCTGGGAAACCGAATGTTCGTAGCAGACCTTCCTCTTGATTAGAGCCAACATATTGGAAAAATAATCTTTGAGATTGGAACCGACTATTAGACAAAATTTTTTGCATGCATCAAATATGAAAAGATGCTTGCACGTATAGAAATTAAGGTACACTGTCAGTCTTGTTCAACAAAACCTCTATTAAAGAGGGATTGTTGCCTAGAATATATATACAGTAGAAGACCTCATACCGCACGTCCTCATATATGAACGTCCTCATATCCGAACATCATCACATACGAACGTCCTCATATCCGAACATCCGCATATTCGTGCGTCCTCATATACGAAACGTTTCAATATCGGAACTTCTCAGTGTTGCCATTTAGATTTTGCAGGAATATAGTCAAATTCTAATGCTTTTCATTCATTTGTAGATAATTGTTATTAACTTGAAATTTCTCAATCCGAAATTTCTCGCACAGAAGAATCTTCAACTGGAAGAAAAAGGAAAAAAATTATTTCACGTTACGTCAGAAATTAGAGATTTTTGAATAACTGGTTGAATGTGCATATTAGCAAACAAGATGCTATGGATAATCAAGAATGGTCTCCCCTTGTTTTGTTACTCTCCACTTTGAGAGAGCTATCTCAGTTTACTGGGACTATAAAAGGACACTATGCGCGAAACGTGTATTCTCAGTTGAGTAAGGCTTTCTTAAAGCCTACACCAGAGTACTTTTACCATTACAACTAATAAGCAGACCGTAGTCAAATAATGTGCTAGTGACACAAGACTTACTAATTAACCCATAGATAGGGGAGAAGAGGTATTTGCGCATAAGGGAATATAACGAATCCAACTGCAATTGGAAACCGGCTCTCCGCTTAACAATTTCGAGTTGCTATCCATTACACCACACGCGCACACTATTATAATATATGCTTGGTGAAATGATATATATATATATATATATATATATATATATATATATATATATATATATATATATATATATATATATATATATATATATATATATAATATATATATATATATATATAAAATAAAAATAACGACGAACAGAAAATATATTAAATAATTCTTAAACTAAGGAGAAAAGATCGAGCGAGAAAAAACATCGAAGGTATGTGTTTAAAAACTGTAATTTTAATATATGCTTGGCTGAAATGATTAATATATATATATATATATATATATATATATATATATATATAAAAATAAATTGTATCTATAAAAATATCGTATAAACAGAAAATATATTAAATAAGTGACGGACTTAATCCATTTAATTATATTTTTTCATTGTTTACGTTAATATATGTTTCTTGGGTACAAATGATTGATTGAGAAAAATCGTCGAAGGTGTGTGTTTATAAAGAGTAATCTGTACTTTGCTGACGCTTCTCTGTAGCTAAATAGTATAGTACGTCAGATCAATGAAATTAATGCTGTTTAATTAAAAACAGAGCATTTACTTTAAACTGTATCTGTATCTATAAAAATAACGTTTAAACAGAATATATATATATATATATATATATATATATATATATATATATATATATATATATATATATATATATATATATATATTCCTCATACGTCGAATTCGACGGAGAGTCGACTATATATATATATATATATATATATATATATTTTCAAAATATTGACTAATTATTTCTTCTAGATTGAGGGACGTGCGAGGTAAGAAACTGGAGTGGACTTTCTATATAACCCAGAGCTTTAGCACAGTAGAGAAGTTTTATTTCTTGTCGCTATGAATCCGAAGATAATTTTCTTTTCGACTGGCTGCAACGCAAGGCTAGATCTTCCAGTCTACCCTACTATTTAACAAGCAGCGGTATATTAATTGAATAGTCCTCCCTTACTTTGACCACGTTTTAGAAATCCAAGCAAGAAATCGTAGTCTATCCTGCTATTTAATCCATAGCTATGGTTTTATGGATTTGTTTGCCTTTGTTTTCTCCTTATGCTTTGAATCAGAAGTTGCTTTTCTCCTAGAACGGCTGTCAACCAAGATAGAGACCCCAGTTTATGCTGCGATCTAACAAATTCATATATTTTTCCTAAAATAAGAGTAGCTTAATAATAAGACTTGGACGATATGGTTTCTTTCTCCCATGTTGGTTGCATTATTTTTTCTTATTTTGTTTTTAGGTTCTTGTTGATAACTTGAAATATATTACGGCTTGCACTGACAGCAAATAGTAGACGTTTGGTTCATGGACGCCGAAATCCAATCAAATTGGACTGAGAACGTAAAGGTCAAAGGTTATATTTTGACAGCCAAATAAGCGTTATTTAGGTTAGTTGCTTACTTTAGGCAGGTGAGAACACACACACACACACATAAACACATACACGCATATATATATATATATGTCGATGTGTGTCTGTAGAATAAAAGGAATTCAAAAAATATTATACTATCTGAAGTCCTGTCACACCCACGATATATTTATCTCCACTGGTTCATATCTATCTATCTATCTATCTATCTATCTATCTAGTTCAAACTCTTCATTGTCTATCTATTTACCTACCTCAGACGTTTCATTAACTATCTATCATTCAGATGCTTAAGATCTCTCTCCCTTTAAGTGTTCAAATCTATTTATCTATCTCTCGTTATTAATCTTTTTCTGTCACTGTCTATCTCATTCTGTCCACTATCTATCTATCTATCTAATCTTTTTCTCCTACCTCTGTTCGAATCTATCTATCTATCTATCTATCTATCTATCTATCTATCTATCTATCAAAATCTGCTCATATGTCTGTCTCTGTCTCTCTATCTCTATGTTTGTCTGTCTGTCCCCACCTCTCTCTTTCTCTCTCTCCCTCTCTCTCTCTCTCTCTATATATATATATATATATATATTGACTCTCCTTTCTTTCTCTTCCCTTCCTTCCTAACATGTGCATTATTATTTCTGATTTCACGCTTACTTCCTTCCCCTCCTTAAGTATTTGCTTTGTTCTCCCTCATTCTCTTCTCCCTCATTCTCTTCTCCCTCATTCTCTTCTCCCTCACCCTCTCCTCCCTCATTCTCTTCTCCCTCATTCTCTTCTCCCTCACCCTCTCCTTCCTCATTCTCTTCTCCCTCATTCTCGTCTCCCTCATTCTCTTCTCCCTCCCCCTCTCCCCCTCATTCTCTTCTCCCCTCACCCTCTCCTTCCTCACCCTCTCCTTCCTCATTTCTTCTCCCTCATTCTCTTCTCCCCTCACCCTCTCCTCCCTCATTCTCTTCTCCCTCACCCTCTCCTTCCTCATTTTCTTCTCCCTCATTCTCGTCTCCCTCATTCTCTTCTCCCTCACCCTCTTCCCCTCATTCTCTTCTCCCTCACCCTCTCCTCCCCTCATTCTCTTCTCCCTCACCCTCTCCTTCCTCATTCTCTTCTCCCTCACCCTCTCCTCCCTCATTCTCTTCTCCCTCACCCTCTCCTCCCCTCATTCTCTTCTCCCTCACCCTCTCCCCCCCTCATTCTCTTCTCCCTCATTCTCTTCTCCCCCACCCTCTCCCCCTCATTCTCTTCTCCCTCATTCTCTTCTCCCTCACCCTCTCTCCCTCATTCTCTTCTCCCTCATTCTCTTCTCCCTCATTCTCTTCTCCCTCCCCCCTCCCCCCTCATTCTCTTCTCCCTCATTCTCTTCTCCCTCCCCTCTCCCCTCATTCTCTCTTCTCCCTCATTCTCTTCTCCCTCCCCTCTCCCCCCTCATTCTCTTCTCCCTCATTCTCTTCTCCCTCCCCCTCTCCCCCTCATTCTCTTCTCCCCTCATTCTCTTCTCCCTCATTCTCTTCTCCCTCCCCTCTCCCCTCATTCTCTTCTCCCCTCATTCTCTTCCCCTCTCTCCCCCTCATTCTCTTCTCCCCTCACCCTCTCCTCCCTCATTCTCTTCTCCCTCATTCTCTTCTCCCTCACCCTCTCCCCCTCATTATCTTCTCCCTCATTCTCTTCTCCCTCACCCTCTCCTTCCTCATTCTCTTCTCCCTCATTCTCTTCTCCCTCATCCTCTTCTCCTCACCTCACCCCAATCCACTACATTTGTGTACCGAAGAAATCGACTTCATTCATTTCATTCACTGCAACTTTTCTCTTTCATAATCTTTTACTTTCTTTCATTTTTTTCTTTCTTTTTTTTTCTTTCTTTCTTTCTTTCCGAGATATATTTTGTATTTGTCGACTTGTTTGTCTATTTTCTATATTTCAACTGTTCTGTCTTTTTTAACAGTTCAACCATTCTTTCTTTCTTTCTTTCTTTCTTTCTTTCTTTCTTTCTTTCTTTCTATGTTTCTTTCTTATTTTCTCTTTTCGTTTGTTTTTTCTGCATCACCCTTTTTTTCTTTGTTTTTTCTTTCCTATTTCCACTTTTTACTTGTTTTTCTACATTTACCTTTCTTTTGTTCTTTTTCTTTGTTTATTTCTTTCTTGTTTCTCATTTTCTTTGTTTATTTATTATTTTCTCTTTTTGCTTGTTTTTCCACATCTACTTTCTTTCTTTCTTTCTTTCTTTCACATTTCCACACTTTGTTTTTTTTTTTATATCTCCCTTTCTTTCTTTCTTTCTTTCTTTCTTTCTTTCTTTCTTTTGTTTTTTTTTTACATCTCTCTTTCTTTTTTCTTTTTCCAGATTTGGTTTTCTTTCATCTTCTCTATTGCTTTCGCTGTCTGTTTTTCTTACTTTTCCATTTTCTCCTTTGTTTTACTTTCTTTCATTCTTTTCCTACATTTCTTTCTTTCTTTCATTCTTTCTTTCTCCTTAGTTCTTAGATTGTTATTTTTTTTTTTTTCACCCTTTTGCTGAAAATTGTACACATCCAATTAAAAGCTCGATCGGCGCCTCATTAAACTTCTCTTTTTATTCACCTGGAATTTTCCGCCATTTTTTTTTCACAACAACACATCTTTCCTCCAGTTTTCCCGCCACTATTTTTCCGCAAGTGATTCGATTTCGAAGGAACTCATATTTTCCTTGATTTTTCATTTTATTTTATCTAAAGGTCTGGCGTTTCTCTCAGTCTTCTGGCAGCAGAAAATTACATCAAATTTCTAAAACCGCAATCGGAATGCTTCCTTCGTTGCGTCCAATAAATTAATAAACATTACCTCTTACCCGTTATCCATCTGATCCAAGAGCTAAATCGAGGTTGAATTTCATTTTTTGTTCATATATATGAATATCTTTTTTATTACTTGAGCATTTAAACAAATGGACCTAAGGGAATGCTGATCCATTCACTTTCTTGCATTACGTAAAGAACTGATCAGCTCGTAAAATAAAAGGAAACCTTTTTTTAGAAATAATTTTTGTAGATTCTTGAGACCTTTCTTTATTCATGAAACTTGTCAAAATCGAAAAATATTGATTTTAAAAAGGGGGGTCCTGTTTATAATATCGATACAGTGTTAAATATCTCCCTAGGTGTTTACAATTACTAGACTTACCTTTTCTATGTAGCAACATAGACTTGAAAAGGCTTAATTTTAAATAATAAAAAAAAAACAAGCGGATATATATATATTTTAATTAAAGGAGAAAAAAATGACATAAATTAAATAATACACTCTTGTGCAAATTAATTGAAACAACCGCTTTATTTTTCTTTCTTTCACCATACGGTCTCTGGAGTGACAGGGTGTAATCGATTTCTAATTTTTTCCTCAGATTAGGTCATTTGCAGTGGTGTGCAGTTATATGAATCTGTTTCGGGGTGTATGTTGAAATTTGTTTGGCCTTGAAAAATATTGCGTCATCAGTGATTGAATCAGATTTTTATCATGCCCAGACACTATTGTCTTGACTGTCGATTAGTTGTCCTCTGGCCATTGTCTGCGATGGACGTTACTCCAAGAAAGTGTACGAAAATTTTTAACGCTGCATGAACACATTAGCAAGCCTTACCAGTGAGCTAAACAACGTACTAAACTGACCCGGAAATTCTCCTGATTTAAATCAAATCAAATCTGTGGTCATACTGTGAATCCAAAAATACTCCTCAAAATGTTAAAAAAAAAAACATTCAGAAAAAATGCGAAAATATAAATGCATCATTGATAAAGCAGAGTTTCAGACTTAGCATTTGTAAAAAAAACACGTAAGTCCTATAACTGTAAAAAGTCAGTGATCAATTTTAAACTATATGGATCGTATGAACATTTTTGGCCTCACGTTTTACACTGACTTGAAGGGGATTGTTGTTTCTTAGTTTATTTTGTATTACGGTATATCGACACCTCAATGGGTTATTTAATGCTGAAAAGATTTTTTATGATAGGTTCGTAGGAATAGAATATATATTCTTTATAAGAAATCAGTTTCATTGACGTATTTTTGTAAAGAGGATTTTTGTCGAGAGTCAAATGTTTTGCGGGTAATCTTTTTTTTTCAAAAATGTATTGCTGGTATTTTTTACTACAAAAATCTATTTTTATACTTTCATAGTGTCTTGACCCCGATTTAGGGGTTAACTATTTGCTGGGAATCGAACAGGTGCTATCACCCCTGGTCAGGTTGTACATGGGAAGAACATCAATTAAGAGGTGATTCCACGTTCCTCAAAATCATCTCTTAATTGCCGTTGTTTCCAGGTCTACTCTGATCTCCGGCGGTAGCACCTGTTAGGGTCCCAACTATGGGAAAATATTTAACCCCGGATGTATTTTTTCGTCATACCCAGAAGGCAACTTGAACTGGAGGGACTACATCGAATCTACTGCAAGGAAAGATGGGTCACTGAGTCGAGATTTTATTTTATTTTTCGTCAGAATCCATTTTGCACATTTACAAATCTACCATTCGTTCGTGCATAGAATACTGTTGCAATTACTGTTCTGTTGCTCCTACTGTGCATCTAGAGATTCTTGACCAAATCCAAAGACGGATATGCAATGTAATAGGTCCTGACCTGGCATCTCAACTTTAGTCAGTTTTATCACCGACGCGACTTCCCTCTGCCTATTCTACAAATATTTTCATCGCATCTCCAATGACGAGATTTTTACCCTAATGTTCCAACTACATGCTTTTAAGCGTGCTACTAGATTGGCAACATTGGGGACGTGAGGGCCCGAAAAAAAAGAGATGAAATGGAGGCTTACCGCCAGGGCGATGTTCATCGAAGGAACATCAAAAATTAGGAACGTCTTCACATGCATTCGTTGCGAGTGAGACTGATCACAATTTAAACAGTATTCATTTATTTCAAAAAAAGAAAAAATCGTGAATATTACTCACTTACTTTTCCGTTACCATAGTTTGAATTAAGGAACTTTGTGTCTTCCATATATTTTGCCTGATTTTTAAAACATCTGATGGATATTCCTGAACGTTCTCAAATTTAAAAGCCTTGTTAAACCAATGACGCCCTTGCTTTTGTATATAAACACGGGAAACAAAATAAATACTCATATTTGCCTTGATGAAGCCCTTCAGAGTACGAAACGCGTCAGCTAAGAAGAGTTTTTCCTCTTGTCCTTTCATTCATATATATATATATATATATATATATATATATATATATATATATATATATATATTATTTAAATATCAAAAAATACACATAAAATCACTGTAAATTCATAAAATTAAAAATAAGGTTAAAAGCAGACACCAAATGCTCATTTTGAGTGAAAAAAATCTTCAAAGACAAACGACAAATGTTTTTTGGAATAAATACGATGAATATTATTATTACAAACGTTTTAGCAATAAAATAAAACAAATAATAAAGGATAGGAAATAAACATTAAATTACGCATATGATTCTCCCAAATCGATAGAAAAATTATATATATATATATATATATATATATATATATATATATATATATATATATATATTATTTATTATTTTGCCTACAATAAACAAATTTTTACGTTTTGGAGGGAATATTAATAAGGAAAAGATACAAACAGGTTTATATGCAACATGTTTTGGTCTAAGAAGGAAAAAATTGCTCTAAATAATAATCCATAAACACACATACACACACACATACACACACTCTCTCTCTCTTTCTCTCTCTCCCCCTTCCACCTGATTTCTTTCTCTCTTTTACACACACATATTTTTGTTATTATGTTTATGTGTGTATGTGTGTGTGTTTACATTAAAAGGTTGGAAGCGTAATAAAAAAACAATGAAAAAAAGCATTGTTATTAAACAACAGAAATGTTATTGTTTGCCATAATTTCCTACCTTGTCAATGCACTTAATCCATTGAGAAGTATTCATCCGATGGATAGCAAAATATGCAGCTAAACTGGATACACAATTAAAATCAAGCTACGAAATTATCAATTGGGCTCTTCTTCACACACAAACACACACACACACACACACACACATATATATATATATATATATATATATATATATATATATATATATATATCATGGACCGAGCGTATGAGCAACGACGATGTAAACAAGGCGGAGGCTTATATTTAACATCAGGAAGAGGCAGCTGAAGTTCCTGGGACACGTATTGAGGAAGGAGGGCCTGGAGAATGGAGGAAAAGTGAGGCAAGGGAAAGCAACGCACGACATACCTGGCGGGCTTAAGCAAGTGGATGACAGAACGTGGTATGGGGAAATTGGAAGAGGGAAGGAACTTGTTGAGAAGGGATAGTGGGAGCTGGAGAGCCATAATCGCATACGTCCTGAAATGACACGGCACATAGAAAGAAAAGAAAGAATATTTATAGCAGAGGTAGCGGGTATGTAAATATAAAAATGGATATAATGATCAACACCAAATCTGCTTCATGCTAGTGTATTCTGTTTTGGTTCGACTATTTATATATGCTGGTTAATGGTGCATTATGTGTAGCAAGGTTTATTGTATTAACTTAACTGTTATCGGTTAAGCAGTTTGACGGGCGAGATAATTTTTCTCTCCAGAATCAATCTTACATATCTATAAGTCTACCAGTCATAGATGCTTAGATTATTGCTGCTGCATATGGTCCGGTGTCCCTGCTATTTGCTTTGAGCTACTTAAGATCCAAATAAGAATCTGCAATATTATTGGTTCTGTTCTGGCAGCTAGGCTCCAGTCACTCTCCCATCGCCGTAAGGTTGCTTCTCTATGTATTTTCTATAAATACTTTCATGGCAATTGTTCGAATGATCTCTTAGTTATGGTAGATGAATTGTACATATGGGGACTAGTTAGGATTTTCATAGAGACAATGAGGTATTATGGTGATTGTAGTAAGAATGCAATTTCCAGTCGCTATCCACCTACTGCTCTCCCGATAACCCTTCTTTTTCTGCTCATCATTAATGTTTCTGTTCGTAATTCTTCCACGCCCTGTAACCCCTTGTGTTTTAGTGACATTGCTGCCTTGCTTGGGCTGATTCCTATTAAACACAAAAATAAAACTGTTATATTTTAAATTATTCCAGAGGCTATCGTGTAGAAATAATTGTAGGTACGAATATTTTATAGTATTGTTTGTTAACAATGTATTAATTTGTTTTATCATTTAATTATATATATATATATATATATATTTATATATATATATATATATATATATATATATATATATATATATATAAATGAGAGAAAAAACAGAGGGAGTAAAAATCTACAGTTCGTAGCATTTGCTTTTAAAAAGGGACTCAATACAAAGGAGAGCAATATATTATTATTATATTTTTGTTATAAGAGATTATAAGAAAAAAACATTTTGAAATCGCCACAGAAACGCTTTCATGTTTCAATTCCATGATTTTGCTTCTTCAGGCGACGGCAA